AACCAAGAATGAGGAACAGTGAATAACAGCAGTCTTGGTTTTGAGGACATCATGTGCAGAGCTTGCAGCATGTGACACTGGCACAGTGCTGAGTCCAAATTCATGGTTATTTCTGCTCATATGCAGCCGTCAGCACCTCTGCCTTGCTGCTGGGCAGCAGACCCAGGATGGCGGAGCAGAACCCCCTCCTTGCGCTGCCATTAGCCTCTTGCAGGGCAGTGTGCTCCTGCTGGGAGCCCAGGCTGCTCTCAGGGTGGCACTCAGGATGCCGTCACCTGAGATGTGGGTTTCCAGTACTGATCTACCCACCTCCATCCCCAGGGAGGTGCCTGCTGACTAGGATTGGGCTATCGCCGGTGGTCCCCACTGTAGACATGGGATGTGCCCTCAGGGAGCCCCCACGGTCCCAGAGCTGATGGCCTCACTGCCCCAAGAGCAGCTTCCCCGTGTCCAGGCTCCTGCAAGGACATCCGCTCTCGCCCTTCTGCCACCCTGCCCTGGATGTGATGTGCTGATGGCTATCCTGTTTCCACCATTGGTCTCATCACTGGTATCCTTATGTCCTGAGGGCTGATCTGCTCCATGTTGGCCATACTGAGGACGATCTTGTTTGTCATCCCTGGGGCTGTGCAGCAGGAGGGTCCAACCTCTGGGCAACATCAATTATGAACCTTCCTTTTTTCTCAGACCTAACACACACCCCCGCCCTCCTAGATCCTCCATTTTGCACCCACCCAAAGGAGACACCCTCCACCTGCTTCTCACCTCCCTTTCCCACCAAAACAAGGTCAAAACTAGCTCTCTGGCCCACCTCCCACTGGTCTTCTCACCCTCCTTGGTAGGACTGCAAGCCATGTACCCACCTTGATATATGCATACGATGTATACCACCACCTGATATAGGTATCACACTGCACGGGGTCCACATACAGCAGGACTGGGGGTCCCCAGTACCAGACCCAGAGATGGGGTGGGGTGTCTCACCAGCAGCTTAGTTCTGCTGTGGCTGCTGCAAGTTATTTTAAGCCCCAGGAGCAAAGATGCGTATGTCTGCCAAAGTCCTTGGCCTGATCAGGTTATCTTTATACTATAACATTTACAGTTAATGAGCCTACAGTAATCTGATGAGGATAAGGCTAAAGTAGAAACATGCAAGGAAGGAAGCTAGGACTGATCTTCTGCTGGGTATTTCCAGAAAGCAACTGGACTTTGCACTGGCCAGGGACAAGCAACAGATTGATGAAGTGAATGGCTCCGTCCCCTCACAGTGTCCTGGGACGTCTGAGTCAGCAGCTGGACCTCAGGGCAAGAGGAACTGCAGATTGAATGGCTGTTCAGTGGGACACATGGAAACCGTGATAGCGCTAAACCACTGCAATCCAAACAAGGTCAGACTAAAAGCTGCCAAAGCCTACTCCCAAAAATCAGACCCGCAGGCCCCAGTTTTCAAAATGCGTGGAGTACCAGCTGAATTTCTGTGGGCTCTTACAGAGCCTCTCAAACTGTATATGCAACATTTTCCTCTGGCATAACAACTGCAAAGCTCTGATTTGATTTGCAAAGGTTGCCATGGCTCTCCTGAAGGCAGAGAGATTATTGGCAGTAATGCCAGTTCCCGTGCCTGGTGGCGAGCTGCCTGGAAAGAATTCCCTCTGCTGGGGCTCAGTTCAGAGCAGGGCTTTCTCAGGGGCTCCAGGGCACCTGGCCTCTTCAGTCACATTGCTCAACATACATCTCTGGGACACAGGCGCTCCTCCAGGGCCCACCCACAGCTGCCTTGGGCTGGTATCTGCCATTTCAGGTGATGAGGAAAAAAAAATCAAATAGGGAAACGAAATGGGCGGTTTTAAATGCTCCATGGGATTTCATCCATTTTTGCCATGGGGTTTCCTTATCCTGCAGCCAAGGCAAGGAGGAAGTTCAGTTTGGCGATTGGTGGCCTCTCCTGGTTAGTCAAGATGGTCACGCCCTGACTCATGCTCTGGCTCTCACATGCCCCATCACCAGACAAGAGTGTTTCAGGAGACTTTGACCAAGTAGGGTTGTGCAATCCTGCCAAGACCTCCTCAAACACCCGTTTACTGAGAAACGTTGTGCAACACTCACGTGCTCACAAGGAAAGGATCCTAGCGTGAGAGAGGGGAAGAATGAGACCTCCTGAACCTGGCAACTTCTGCAAAGAAAAAACAAAAAGCCCGAGTGGCCACTTGGTGCACAGAGCTGGTTTAATGCCACTTTGCACCCACTGATGGGATCTGTCAATAATTTGCTGAAGTAATTACACTGCCAGGTCAGGTATAACCTAAAATAAAAAACATTGAAATCAAAGGCAGTCAGTATTCCTGCTGACTTCAAGAGCTTTTGGACATCATCATGTATCAGTCACCAACTGTACTTTGAAACCCAGCACAAGAATGGCTTTTTTCCACAGGCCTGGGGAGTGATTGAGGCTGGCAGGCAGCCCTGGAGGCGGCTGGTCCAAGCCCTGCTCAAAGCAGGGCTGACTCCTTTCAGTGCTGCAGGTCTCTGGGGTTGGAGACCCTGCAGACCAGGGCCCTGTTCCAGCCTTTCAACCCATTGCACTGTGAAAAACGTTTTCCTCCTGTCCAGCTGGTGCAGAGGCCCTGCCGGTTCCACCAGAGTCCCCCCCTTGGATGAGTGTTGCAACTGTTGGACACTGGCCAGCTCTGCCCATTCTCATGCATGGGATTACAAAGCTGTAATATTTCTGCTTTCTCCGGTCTCTTTTGGGGTCTCGTGCCCCTGGGAAGGAGTCAGAGCTGCCTGAACTCTCAGCACGAAATGCTGCTAGGTCAGGACTTCAGGTTCCTTTCCCTGTGCTGCTCCTCCATCCTTGCTGTAAGCTGTCCTGCTGAGAGAAGATGCAGCTTGGTTTGGAGAGAGCTAAAATACCACAACTTAGCAAAATCTCTAAAGGAGTCCATTATCTCCAGCTCTAGGCAAACTACCTTCTGCCTTATCGCTAGTAGAGATGGGAGGGCGGTTACACGCTCTCCAAGCAAAACTGCATCCGGGTAAATTTGCATTATTTAGATTATTTGCATTAGAAACAGTCAGCATACAGTGTACCATGGAGGCTGATGATGCCTTCTGTCCCTCCGGGCCATCTCAAAGGACCGGTGGTGAGCTGCTGCGCGCAGCAGGATGTTGGGTGGAAACACCGGGCACATTTGGCAGAGAACAGCTGGGAAAAGGGCCTGGAGCTCCATTTCTAACAATAAGGAAGAAGAGGACAGGAAGACCTGGCTGCTGCGGGTGGCACTCTTCCCAGGGGTTACGGATAAACACACCTATTCTGCTTAGGGAAGGTTTTATGTAAATAACACAGCCTCAGCTTTGCCCCATTCTGCCTGGTGATAATTTGCCAGGAACCTGACATTTTTCTGTATTTTGCACCAGTCATCCCCACAGCCCGGAGTTCTAGGAACGGCAGCTGCGTGCCTGCAGGAGCAGTGAGCCTGTCTGCCCTTGCCCAATACACCGCAAGATGCTCTGGCGTAAGACTGACCTTGCACAATCCTAAAATGTTTCTGTTGGCATCTCAAAACAAGCAGCCTGCTGCAGAATTGTGCCTTCGTGGTGCTATTTGGAGGCCTTAAAACAAATGCATTGATCAGTGCAGGTGAAGGTTGTTGGGTTTTTTTCTTCTGCAGCGCTGTTCCCCGAGTGACTGCAAAGGAAAGGAGTCTCTGGATACAAACTGGAAATTCAATAGCCCGTTAATGCTTTTTGTGGGGCATGGCTAAGAACCAGCTACATCTCAGATGGGATTGTGGGTGTATTGACATCTTCAGATTGCCCCTCTCCTTCATTTCAGGAGAAAGAGAAGGAGGACTTTATTTCCCCTCTGCTTCTAGAGATGAAAATCCAAAAGACCAAAAGCCTCTTCTGAATATTTCAGAAGAAAAATGAGTATTTTTAAGGGGTGAAGAACATTGTTAGAACTATGAACTGATGATGCTAAGTGCCTGAGAAGCAGGCTAGGTTTCTAGGGCAGAGAACAATTCTAAAAGCAGAAATGTGTAAAACTTAGCATATTTAATGTATATATTAAAACAGGGCTCTGAAGGAGTCATTTTCCCTGTTCTTGCACAGTGATTGAGGGCTCTTGGTACACTCTTCCGTGACAGCAGCCCGGCTGCCTGAAAGCTGTCCTGAGTGGCCAGCCCTCCCTCTGCCATTGGGGGAACACCTGCAGCACACTTGGGCACACAAGAATTTCATACTGACTTATTTTTAGATTTCTGCTTTAAAAAAAACTAGCTTTACAGCTGAACAGAAACAAGAAGCAACTGAAAAGCATCAAGTATCTGAACTTTCAACAACTCCCAAGGTGTAAAATTTCATTTCTTAACTCAGTAAAGCCAAGTTCCACATAGTTTTTACCTTATCCCATCCATCTTGACAGTAGATGTTCTCTGGGCGTTTCTCTCATTCGCTCCCTCAGCAGAGAGCTGAAAGCACTAATGCTCCTGCCTTTATCTGCCTCAATTCTTTAATACAATGTAATTTCAGTTAGAACCCTACAGCCCCTCTCCTCTGAGTGGAGCGAGGCAGAACTCCCTCCATCCTGCAGACGTTGCCTTACTTTTCTCCAATGCTTTCTCTTCCCACGGAGATGAGGTAATTTTGCATATTCCAACATACTCTGGAAAGAATCCCGAAGTACCTCTCTGCCCGGTCCCTACATGTCAAAAGGTATGAGCAACCTGAAGCTATTTTAAATCACCTCATAACCTCTAATTTGTTCCCCTGCTTGTCATTTACTGAGTCACCTCTAAGGAGTGGTGCCTTCGAATGCGATTTTGTGCTTTTATTTTTGGGGTTTTGGTTTTGGATTTTTTGGTTGGTTGTTTTGTTTTGGGGTTTTTATTTTTTGAGATGACCCGTTTCATAAAAGGCTTAGGGGGATAAATAACCTTTTAATGCAATGTCATAAAATTCATTAGCTCTTGTTCATCTTCAAGACACAAGACGTGTTACACTGTATTGCCCTGTAGGCTGATTAAACTGTCAACTTTATTTTTATTCACAGGCAGTTGCCGTACTCTATGACTTCCCACAGGTTTATGTATATATACATGTAATTATAGCATACTAGTGCTAGATTTACAGCATTAGATATTTGGTTTTTTCTTTGGGAAACAGTGCTTTCTACCCACAAAGACTGTTACTGTTCACAGTTTAACTGCGCTGTTCACATCTGATAGTTCTTAAATGCAACTCATTTCTTTAAACTGTTAAGGAGTTAAAGCTTAAAGAACAAGCTTTGGTTTCTTCACTCTTCAACCAATCCGCAAATTAGTCACTGTAATGGAATTCGTTAACTTTTGGTAAAAAGCTAATAGCAATAGTGTAAAAATTTTTTTCAGGATTAATGACTTAATGTTTAAATTTAGCATAGATTTCACAATCACTGATAGGTATAGGTGGCTTGTAGTGTTCATCCAGAGATTCTTAAGAGCATTGTGCTTTGAAACAAACCATCCATCTTGAAAGCTCCAGGTGTTTGCCAAAACGCCCGTGTCCAACCAGCGGGCTGTCGGCAGGCGGGGGTGCAGGGGAGAACGCTGGCTGCGTTGCTCACGGTCAGGAGCCTGGGCTCCCAGCACAGTTCCAGTAGAGTGGCTGACCCTTCATGTTGGCATGCATGGAAAGTCTGGGTTACTACAGTTATGAAAAGTTATCACTTGTAGTAAGGGTTATACTAAGGATTGTTGTTTCCATCAATACCCAAGGCACACTTGATCCATGGCCAGGCGTATTCTGCAACAGAGAACAATAATAATAAGAAACTCTTCATGTGCTCTGCTCTCAAAACTATTTGCCAAACTGACTGTAGCAGGATGCCACCAGGAGTGGGGGCAGCAGTGCTTTTTCTTCTGGGTTGCATGTGCACACTCCTAAACTACCAGTCCAGCCTCCCACCCCTACCCCTTTGCTTTCCTCTTTCCCTTTTCTTCCTCTCGCATGACTCACAAGCTGGAATCCCATCCTCTACCACCAACTCCCAGGACAGAATTTCAACACCATGCTTCCCTTGCCCCTGCTACATCACCCTAAGGATCAGCCTGGACCATTATTTCCCTGCTTTCCTACCACATGCTCACAGTTTAAGGCCCTAGGGCCATATTCCCTTTCTGCACCAGAACCCAGCAGTGCTGTGGTGTTCTGAGCCAGCAGCCGAGGGGGCAGAGGAGAAAATACAGCAGTTCCCAACCCTACTTCAGTGTAAGATCATACAGGAGCCTCAGGGCAACACCCCTGTCCTGCAAGACACACTGGTCATGCTATTTTGTGTTATGCAGTGCAGTGGGATCCTCCAACTGGCTATAATTTCCCCCGAGGGTCTTCAACAAGGAAATTAAAGGGTTTCTGGGAACTGGATCATCATGAGTGGGAGGGAACTAATGATGATGTGCTTTACAAAATTAGCATTCATACCTTTAGTCATAATTTTACTGCCAAAATAGTCAACAGACCAGAACAAGTGAGAAGCTTTGTCACGCTTCATCTGCCTATTAATTTCTGCTTTTCTAACCACAGTGTATCTGGGAACTCATTACCTGTCTATAGGGTATCCACCTTCACAAACGTTGACCAAGGCATACAGCTGTCTCAGTGCATATTCATACTGAAATAAACAAACATTGTTAATAATTTCAGTGACGAAGAGCAGGTATGGTTTACCCAAATTATGCAGGTTTACTAAATTATGCAAGTAATTTAGAGATGTGTTTACTGGTCTTGACAATCTAGCACTAGGTTAAATGGATCTTCTGATAACTTTGCTCTTTAAACTTCATTAGGTAAATTCAGCTGTTGCTGCACAACACACCCTTAGGCAAAGCTCACCTACCTAACCAATTTCATTCAAAAACACCCACAAACAAACAAAAAACACTAAAGAGGAACTAAAAGTTTAACAGAGTAATGTGGTCTCCTAATAGCCTGGTTGATTAGAAGCTCCAACTGAAGGAGGGCAGCTGCTTTTGATTTGTATACAGGACTTAAATTTTGATTAACTGCCAGACAATTCCATTGCTTTCTGCTAAAATAAATTAATTTACTGTTGACTCATCCTACCACACACCACTGTCTGCTTAGGTTATCTTGCCTGACATCAGGACTGGGTTTTCTGGAATAGGAATTGACCTCTCTTATTCTTGTCGAAACAGTGGTTAGCAAGGCAGGATTTCATCCTCAACTGGGATTCCAGGAAGACTGGGCAGTAATAAAACCCCTGAACTAAAAAGTGGCTCTTAGGAATTCAATGAGACCATGGAAGTAGAGCTAGGCTACTGCAAGGAACTATGCAACAGACAATCCTGATGTAGAAATCTGAATGTACTAGGATTATGAATTCACAACGATGGTGCTGTTTCTCTGTTTTGCTAGTAGAGATGCTTCAAGAAGAAATACAGTGTAACAGTTAATATTGGGATTTCTGGGGAAAGAACCAATGAAGGGACAGCACTAACTAGTAAAAGGTAAGGATTATTGCTGGTTTTATTTAGTAATCTTCTCACCTATCTACAGGCGTAGTGGAAGTGGTTTCCTGCTTCCAAAAATATTACTCACACCCTCCAAAACTAAGCTGTAAGACTGCCCCCAAGCTAGATTTTTAATAAAAGCTGATTTTGCAGACCTGCTTATGACTACTGTGCTTGTTTTACCAGTACATGTATCAGGTTATATCTAATGCTTGACTTACCAAGGCCAAGTGCCAGTTGAAGCAATGAGCTTTGAAGTGGTTCACCGCTGACTGGTAGCAGTCATAATTGCTGAGGGTCAGTCTGTCTGACAGAATTTGGTTGGTCTGTTCTTTCGATCCTGTTACTAACACGATGATCTTTCGCATAGATTCTTGGATAAATTCTTTCACCTGCACATAAAGCAAGAACTTAAAACATGCTTTTTCTAAACCTAACTTGAAGGCTTTGAATTAAATTTCTCTTTTTTTAAACCTCCTTCAACTCTTGGGCTCTTTAAGGAACCCAGCTTTACTATCTACTTTTAGCACAGTCTTTTGGACCCGTCTCAACACAAATGAAAACTAGGGAGACAGAAAGTCAGACTCCTGGCACCCAAAATCACTCACTGTCCTTCTAGTGTTCTGCGAGGAGAAAGACAACACCAGTACTGGCTCCCATTCTGCAGGAGCTATTTGATTTGGGAGACTTTGATTCCACTGAGACAAGAGTAACTCCTCCCAGCAAGAATCCCTATGGCTGCAGATGAAGAGTTTCCTGAAATAAAAGCTGTTAGACTGACTTTTGCATTTGCTTACATTTGCCTAGATAAGCCCTGCTGAATGTGCCTTCTGTAACAAATGGCTGAATTTTAAAGGAAGAGTAAACCATCAGCTAGAGATTACTAGTCTGAAGGGTAATTTTGTTGCAATTTTCAAAAACTGGAAGCAATCTCTCAATCTGACCTGATATGTAGTTCAAATTTTTTTTTTTTTTTTTTTTTTTGCTTACCTCCAGGTGTACTTTCATCTCTGCAGCAATCTTCTTAGCCTCATGAATGTCATTGGTAGCCATCAGCTTTCGTTTCATGATTGCAAGAGGCACATCTGGACTAGGAGTCAGGTCATAGCGTTCTACAGGTGGCAGAGAAATGGGGACAGCTTTCTTCCCCATGCCCTGGAACTGCATCACTTTCATGGAGGAGATGCTCTGAAGGTTAGAAAGAAAACAAACGGAAACTGTCAGCCACTCCAGCAGGTAGCCTCTCTTTGCTTTGCCATGCAAACCTAACTCTCTAAACTTGCTTTATTAGAGAAAATAAAGGAGATCATAGGGTTGTAAGTATGTGTGCACAGGCACGTTGGGTTTTTTAATACAAGGTCAAGGCTGCCAAAAATCAGGGAACTTTTATTTCCAAAACTCACTGAGGGGGGAAAAAAGACAAAAGACCATCAGGTTAAGTAACCTGACTTTTTTTTTTTTAAACAAATATTTAATTTGTGCTTCTATTAACACGCTGAATAATGGGACTGTTATAATGATATGTCACCTCTCAGCTCTTCACATCTGAGGGATCAATGTATTTAACAATTCTTTAATATTCATAATATGCCTGGAAGTGGTAAATACCCTTCTTACACTTGACTGAAGTGCTATATCAGTGGCAGAGCTTGGAGGACAATTCATATCCTGACTCACAGAATCACAGAATCCTTTTATTAAAGCATAATACAAGGCTGTATGTCCTTTAGCATCAGGACCAGAGTCCTTTAAATCTTAAGTGGTCTTCTAAGATTAAGAATTCCATTTTCTACATCAACCTTGCCTTGCTTTTTTGTTTGGTTTTTTTTTTTAGTTTGTTTTTTTGTTTTTAAGGCATGAAAGTATATGGCACAAAAGGTTTTAAGATATACCTGACCAGCAAGCCCACTCCAATACGTACTCTGTTTCCATACTGCATCACATGGCTGGTGTTAGTGCGTTTCTTCACGAGCTGGAACTGCTTGTGGAGTGTTTCTTTTCTTAGATCCTCCTGCAGAAAGAAACTTCCATGGGGTCACAGCTACTTAAATTCAGCTATTTTAAAAATGCAAGGAAATCTGGAAAAGGTCTTAGCTGCCAACATGTACAAGGAGGTACAGAGCAACCTTTAAAAGACAGCGAGTTCATTATTTCAGGATCCCTGAAGCAGAGGTACAACTTACTGAACTGTCCAATTTGTTTAACAAATTTGGAGATGTGGTCTCAGATTAGCAAATCAAGATTATGTGAATTTGAAAACAGAAGCTAGACAGTTTCTAATCTTAAAAATAGCATAAGGGTATGTTTCTGAAAGTTTCATAAATAAATTTAGTTGCTCAAACAAATAAAGATTATATATGGTTCTGAATAGTAGATAAATACTTTTACCAACTCCATTTTTTGATTTCAGTCTTGTAAAAAAACCCAAAGATTTTCATAAATCCTGTAAAAGAACTATTTTTAAAAACCTAGTGCTTTTTTTCATGCTGAAATTTCATTTAAATAACATACCATATCCGAATCTTCCATCCAATTCACACTGTACCAGTCCCCAAGATAAGTCTGCCTTTCATCATCATAGTAACATGCATAAGATGACTCTCTGGGATTGGCAGCTGTTGTTGCATAAACTGGAAAAGGAAATGGGAAAGTTTTTTTTTTTTTCTTATTTTTAACCCCCTACATGATTTAGTACTTTGCTGCATGTGATATATTTACCCAAGTATTTTGGCTTTCAGTCATTTACTTTGAAATAGCAGGAAAGAAAGAAGCCTGTTAATCACTCTGCTCAGTCAGCCTCAGTGCTGTTACAAAACCTCCTTCCTTGCTGCCAAATGCGAGGTCTAGGGTGCTTAAAGAAGAATATACATTTCTGGGGGGAAAATCTATCCAAAGAACTGCCTGACAACACTGTGCACTGACAACCACTAATGTTCATTTTATTTATTACAATAATAATGTCTTCTTTCCAAACCTGGAGTAAAACACATAAATAATCTTTTCTTTCAGAAAATGCCACCTTCTAAGTTAATACCCTTTCTTGGATAAAGCTCTACACTGAGAGAAAAGGAAAACAAACCTCTACAACATCTGCCCCAAGTACAGTGTTCCTAGTAAGTCATCTCTAACACAGTAGAAATACTGTAAATGCATCTTTACAGGTATTATTAAGACAAAAGCTATTTTGACTTTTTGCCAAAGTCAACTCATAGCATACTTGTGTAACTGAAGGAAAGTCCAGGTTTCAAAATGAAAGAGTGTTAGGCCTGCTTTTATGTAGCTACAGTGTTGTTTCTATTCAGAATGTACATGAAGTTCAAAAGCCCCGAAAAGGTCTCAAATCTTGTCTGTGTAGTGAAGTGCTGCTCTTAGCACCCTTTAAAATGCCAACTAAGTAACCAGTTAGGCTTTCTGGTTCATCATTGAAGGCTGCCAAGGACAGCTCTGTGGTGCAATACATAAACTGTCAATTTTCCGCCTTTGTAAGTCTGTGGGAGAGCTGGTCCCTGGACTGGAAATTTCGAATAGAACAAACTTTGAAAAATGCCAATTCACTGAGCATTTATTTTGAGCAATTTTCAATATGAAACATTCTGTGTGAGCTCTGTTTAAATCCTTGATAGGGCTGTAAGAAGCCTAGGTGGGTGCCAGGCACTGTACTCCAGCGCCAAAGACCCAGGAAACCACAGCCAGGCCCATGGCTGGTTTCCCCTGGAATCACAGCTTCAAAACTACAAAAAAGCCAGAGCACTTGGTCTCCCTGCCACAGGAGTTTGAAAAGACTGTGACTCCTCGTCCTAATCAAGGCTGAGCTCACAGCTGTGCAGCAGGGAGCTTAGAAACCCTGAAAAATCCAAGTTCCGCTTCCTGGGGCACTGTACGAGTGAGTGTAGCAAAACTGCCTGGCAATGATGTCTCTCAAGTGCCTTTGCTACTCAATGAAACTGAGGGCAGGAACTTCACACCTGCTCTTAGTGGGCTAAGACATGTCAGTGTAACAACCACCAATTCAAGGCAACCACATAGTTCCTGAAAAGAAGTACTTTTTCAACTTCTCATTTGCAAGAAACTGAAAGCCTTGTTAATCTTTGTAACACTCCATTAATGCTTTAAAAGGAACTTCCCATAAATGGAAAACATGACTTTCTCGAATTCTTGTGCTTCCCCCCTCAAACTGTACAAAGTGCATTGAACCGGTTCTTGAAACGGTGTCTGTTTTGGTCGTGCCTGTGACAACCTGTGACATTTAAGTCCAGTAAGTTAACTGATTGCTCACCATTTATATTATCAGCCAAATGATTCATCATAGATCCAGACTCGCATGCTTCAATGTAAAACACCATCTATAAAATAAATCAGAGACCTATAGAAATTCCATGAGGAAACAGAGAAAAGTCCTTCAGTACTCTTCAGCTATAGCTAGTTGGCCTGTACTGCTATCCCTGAAATAAACGCTGTCCATAATGCTACAAAATAAAACACAAAAGCAAATAGATCAATTTTCATTTTTGGGAACTAAACTATATGGAAAGGGAAAACACAATTGCTGAATGAATGAAATACACAATTGCTCTTTAGGCACAGCAATGTGCCACTATTGAATGTCGCATTTCCAGAACCAATGGCCCCAGAGGTGTTCCTAACTACAGCCAGCCATGGCAGACAGATTACCACAGAAAGTTGCTGTAGAAAAGCAAGCTACTAAAATGTTCTAAATATTATTTTTTCTGCTTAAAATGACTCGTGATTAAATAAATGCACAGAATTTTCTGACAAGAGGTACAGCCTCTTAAACTACATTAGTAACTATAAGAGAAACATGAGGTCTACACAAACTTCCTGTAGTAGCAGTGCAGCCTGAAGTGAACAAAGCACAGGAAGAACAAGTCAGGTGCATATTATGGGGGTGCAGTAGTTAACGGATGTTATTTCTCCATGGTTGGTCAAAATATATACCGTTATTGAAAGGCAGTACATTACAGCTCAACATTGACTGCAAATAGACAGTAAACTAAAAATGGAAAGAGAAATTTTGGAGAGGATCAGTCCTTGTAAATGCAAAATCCTAATCCAAATTTCATTGCATGGCAACAGCTTCCTCCTGCTTTAAACAACTCAAAATAAAGACAAATCTCCCTCTCTCATGCCAGCTACTCTTCTAATTTCAAAACCAATATGCTTCTTTACCTGCCGGTATTTTTTGTGATGATACATGTACCAAATAGTCTTATTCAAGTCCTTCACGTGAAGCTGTAAAATAAGAAGGCTTGTATTAAACCCACTTACGTTCAACAGACATACAATTCACTTAATAGGAATAAATGCTAACTCTTGTGAATATGCTTACTGTTGCCCATTAAATTTATCCAGTGCTTTGCCCTTCTGAAATACAGTATTCTAGTATTTACCACTCTGGAAAAGATGAGTAATGGTCCCAGATGATATGTACGAGAAAGCCAAGTCATACCTGTGTGAAAAAGTCTGGACCACCAAAGTCCAATGAAATACTAAAAGACTTAATCTCAACTTGAATGCTTCCGATTCAAACTGGAAAAAATCCATACTGGGGGGATGAGGAGAATATTGCTCTGCCTCCCCCCTCAATATGGCTGTGCATCAAATATTTTTGTGTTTTACATATTTTACTTATTATTTTAGCATGCCATTAAAAGTATGTTTCTTATGACAAAGTAACCCCCCAAAATGCTTACATCATCATCAGGAAAAGCCAGAAGTCCTGGAGCTCCATGATCAGTGAAATAAACGAACACATGATCCTTGGGACCACTGTAATGAAAAAAAATCGCAAATTCTTTCCAACCACTCCAACCTAATCTTCATTACAACAACAATCACCTGCTTCTCATTGCCATGACATGTCAATATTTGAAAGCAATACAGCTGAAGCACTTCCTCCTCTTGGTAATATTTTTTTCCTCCCAAAGCACACTACTTTGGGTGATCATGAGAGGAGATGAGTGTCTGCAGAAGGAATGAGAACGGGGATACAGGCGAGTCCTTCAAGTATGGGGAATACAGCAATTACACTTCACATTTCAAACTGCAAACTAATTGCTGGTCAGGGAGGGGCTGGTACATTGAGTACGGTGGAAGCACAGTTGTTTTTTTTACGCCTACCTGAAGAATCTGTTATATTGTGGGCATTTGTAGGAGTCTGGTAAAAAAGGAATGCTTTTAGAGCTAAGTTATAGTAAGGCACTAGTAACACAGGGATAAGCCATAAAAACACTCACTACTGTTGTGATCTGCCTGGCCATACTAAGCCAGATCAATGTCAGCCTCCATTTCCATGAAGAACTGATGTGTGTGCAAACCCACCCCTTAGGTTAGACTGGCATTTGCACGAAGTGGCTGTGCAGCTGGTTGAGCACCGCTCACTCACAGGCTTGGATTCCCCAACATCTGTGCAGCACACAATCTGGTGTAGATTTTTACTGCACTCTAAACCAGACAGATCATGTTTGGGTGATATTAAGGCCTTGCCCTAACAGCCAGATCTGCAAAGGGGTTTTGCTTTTACATTGTATTCAGGGACAATTAAATATGTGAATGGATTGAAAGGAGACACCCAAACCCTCCTCTCTTCCTCTGTATCAACGGTCCAGAAATCTGATTTTGCTCTTGCTCTTTCCTAACTGTGAAGAGGTACGACTGCAACAGCTCAAGAGGACATTGTCCAGCCTTCTGCCTGGCCGATAACCTGCTGGTTAGGGAACAACCTGAAAGACAATCTAGAAGCTTTTTGGGCAGAGGATAATTGAGTTCTTGTCCCACCCTATAGCAGAAGTCAGGCTGCCTGGAAATTCACACAACAGAACCTAACAAAGAAAGGCAGGGTGTTACTTTTCTGGCCCCCACTCTTAAGCCTAACTACAAAAAATTCAACCAAGGTGAAATATAAATAAGACTTTTATAGGTGGGTTTAAATAAATCATCTTCCTGAGTAGCTAAGAGTCTCTGGCCCTCTGCATAGCCACTCCCTTATTTGACTTACAACATCAAACTTTCACAGGTGAGGTGTACTCTGAAGTACTTTTATTTAAATGAAAAATGCTTTATAGTCACCTCTTGACTCATTCCAGCTACTAGAAGAGAACAATCAAGTAACTGTGCAGCAATTTACTAACGTTTTGCCGGTATGCCTTGCATGTATCATTTTCGATCTCAGCTTTTCAGGATGAAGTTTAAACAAACAATGGAAAGCAATAGCTTATTCAACTACTGCCCTGTTCCTTCATTTTTTCAGTTCTCCCCAATGCCAGGGCAGGATTCTTCTCTTCTGTTTCATTGCTTTGATCTAAAATTATACTGTCAGATGAAGACAGGCACTTATAAAATTTTACTTTAACCTTTAACTAGGTTAGTTCTTCAAAATGGTCAAATTTAAATTCTTAAAGGTTTTACAGGAAACACTGTAAATAGAAAAATATAACATGAAACAACTCTTTACCAGCAGTGCTGAGTCAGAAATACAACACACCTCAGTAAATATGAAATGTACAATTACACATGCAATTATTTTCTAAATTAAACTTCTCTTACCTTTTCAACACTTTTCCTGACCCCACTCCCTTCACTGCTTCCGCATCTCCTCTGAGAACAGCAAGGAAATTCTTTGGAGTAACATCCTAAGGATTTAAGAGGATTAAAGTTAAATCTGATCATAAAAACAATAACAAAAACTTTGTTTAGAAAGATGGCTTCTGAAAGTCAGAATCCATGCGGGGATGGCAAGTTTAGCTGGCCATTCTTTTCAATCCATCATCTATATACAATGTATTAGCCACTGATGACCGACTTGGACACTGAATCATTAAATCATCAAGTGATTGGATTACTGTTCCAATTTAATGAAACAATTAGTCTTACACAGCTGTTCTTTATATTGAGTTACAACACTTATGAATGTAAGACTTTTCCTCTTATTTTGTGTGCCAGCACAGGAACAGTGTAAAGGTTTACTTTTATGACCACTGTTTCATTTCAAAGCATCTGTTGTTTATATTCATCTTATGAACACCAAACACCATGCCAGTGAATAAACTGGAGGCTTTATCCTACGTGCATTTTGGAGTGTAAGCTACAGGCTGAAAGGGTTTATGCAGAACACTGGCTAATGCTGAACCTTCCCTGGGGAATGGTGTTTCATTCCTACCTCCTTTGTATAGTCCTTGGGCACTCCAGCATACACATCTGTGCCATTAGGTCTATTGATGACAATGCCTTTTGTTGGATTTCTGAAAGTTAAACGGAACATAAATATGAATAATTAGCCACGAACCACACCACGACCACAGAACAAGGAGGAAACTGTTTAAACTGTCCTGACTGGCCAGCTTGCCTGAGAGAGAGTATGGGTGTTCCACCATGTGTCCTTAAGTGATCTCAGAACAAAAAGGCCTTTTCACTTCAGTCAGTTACACGTGCTTGCCTCAAGTGTCCTTACCCTCAGAGTACCTTCAGGTATCCCACCTCAGATCATGTTGATTAATCTGAAGATGTAGATGGGTGGTCTCTTACACTATCACCTCTCTACTTTCAGTCTTGCCTTCAGTCCCCTTTCCTCTTTGCTCCCAATGCTGCTGGGCATGGGAGGTCCACTAATTTTTGCTGAAGTTGTCTCAGAATTAGAGGCTGTGTAACTGAGCTGTTTCATATAGAAAGGAATGATACACTCTAGACAGTCACTAAGAATGGGACATGTACACTACTTCGTTGAATGTACATTCTGGGAATTAAACTCATTGTATCCTTTCAAAAAAGCCCTGCAAGTCATACATGAAGTCATCCTATGTTTGTGGTTACAGGCTATTTATCTGTTGCAAACTGTCACGCCTGGGAGTTAAGATCACTTGTTCTCGTAACAATGAAGGTCTGCAGCCCTGAGTCCCACACCTGATGCTCAGTTGTGCTGTAAGGGCTTAGAAAGCTCATGAGCCCTTTTCAAAGGAGAATTATTGCGCTGATGATTAAAACATCTCTACACATAGCACAGCTGGTTTTAAAGGCTTTTCTTACAACACTACTACAAACTCAAAACACACTGGTGACTGTGGCATGTCTGTAGTAACCATATAGTTTGTGACTTACTCATCATTATCAGCAATGTCATCATACATCATGACAATGATCTGTTCGTCTGGAATTCCATTTCGGTGTACGATCTGGTACGCATGGCACACGTCTGCCTGAAATTAAGCAGATTTTCATTACCAGCTTTAACAGAGATTGTATCTTTGAGACCAGAAGAAAAATAGCTCTGCAGGCTCTGCTATTATCCAAAAGAAACTGCACTCAAATATAAAAGACTGAAGGTTGTTAGAGGGCTGAAATGCACAGGTTAAACCAAAACTCAATGTCTTTCTCTAACTAGGAGCAGTTGCATTAATAATAGAGACTATGATTAAAATCTCTCTTTCATTTACCTATTTTGATTTCTTATTTGAATGGAAACCAGAGGTTACTTCAGACTTGGTAAAAATAACAAAATTTAACAAAAGGTTCTCAGCAATGTTTCGTGAGAAAATCTAAATGAAATCCTTGTGCACTGACAGACAAATCCAAAGTGTGCCAAGTAGAAGAAGAGTTGGATTTTCACCAATTTCAGTTAGTTTGTACCAAGCCTGCATGACTATGCATCAGACTGTCCTTAGCTTAAGCAAGTATGGTTTACCAATCTCATCATTGCGAAGATTTTATTCAATTTTGTTTTACTAGATGAAAATTCTGGTTAAGAAAAATTTCCTTTCTTACTATGCATTTCTTGTAGAGTAACACTGATGCTACTTCAGGGCAAGAAAACAGATTTCAGTGGAAAAGAGAATTGCACAATTTCTATTCAAGCAATTTTCCTGACTTGTACAGGATATGAATAAGCAGATTTTCTTTACAAAATCACCTTCCCTTGACACAGAAATAACAATACTCATCCATGTGATATTACAGTAAATGCAAACCTCTATCAGAACTCTAAATTCTTAGTAACCCCAGCCCAAAAAATTCTCTTCCTTTAGACCTGCAGTTTGTGAATGTCCTAATGGGATATCAACAATCATTCCTAAACTCTAGAACTACAACCTACAACATGCTAGAAAAGCTGTGCAGATTGGATGGAAGAAATCTCATCTAACAAATCCACACTCCAAATGCAGGTAAAAAGCAAGCTTTAAAGCTTACTTCTGTTGAGCTAATGTAATTTTCTGGATTGTAAACCAGTAGACCTACATGAGTTCCAATTACTTAGGAGTACCAGTGATTTTGACTAGTTTAACTGAAAGGACACCATAAAATCCTGTCACTTTATAATCTTTGGTCTTCTAAGTGTGGCTGAAGATGAAAAGTGAGGGTAGCTGTGCATGGTTCTAGGAAGGGTGAGGCACATTCAATGCTAATGAACTCTCCCACAGCAAAATCTCTTTCCGTGACTAACCCTGAACCCGTCCTTACTAACCTCCATTCTCTACTACACAGGTCAGCCTACATTCTCTTCAACCTATCCCAGACAATCTTCATTGCTTATAGTTTCCATTTCCTTGTATGTCATTATACCAGCTGCTGCCTCAACAAATCAAAAGGTTAAACTGAATTATAAAGGCATCAAATATAATACGAAACAGTGGAGTGCAGGTTTGACTAAATATGCGTTTGATTTTCAGAAGCAAAAAGTAGAAGAAAGCAGTAATCAAGGCATCTCTACACTGATTGATGAGTAGATCATAGATCCCCTCCCACTCTCCAGACACAATATACTGCTCTTATGCTGGCAGACAGTTAAAGGCTGGCAGCACACAGAAATGCTTAGGCATACTACAGTAATATAATATCAACATATTCAACCAGCAAGTGTCTGTGCTCCCACTGGCATATGACTGGTCAGTAAGGACTTCAGAGGTGTTTTTAATTAATACAAAAGTACCCAAAATTAGTTAAGCTTTGCAAATGCATATTTTCAGCTTTTTTTTTTTTGTCTCCTCTGTCCTTCCTTCTGATTCATTGACTGTTTGCTCACTAAGTCCTGTCTTATTAAAGTAGACATTGGTGGTAAATTTAAATGGGTTAGATTCCCTACTGTGGAGTGAAACAAATCAATATAATCAATTCCCCTCAACTGCAGCTATTTAGAGATTGTCCCAGCCTTCTAAGGCTTTTGCTAAGGAAACTGTACCTACTGGTAGCACAATGATATCACCAACACAGGCTAGAGCAGCAAAAACATGTTTTGCTGCTATAACTCCATTGGCTAAAACAGGACAGTTCTGAGTAAACAGTTGGGTTTTTTTGCATAGAATTAGCTGACCTGAGTGGCTACCTTTGATGTTGGTCACATGCTCCTCCTGTTCCTTCCCGTACACATAAAAAGCCATAAATCTCTATAAAAACAGAATAGAAACAGCCTGCTGCTAGAGTAGGGAGGCGTATGTGAATCTAGAGTATTTCCTGTTGATGTGTAACTGCATCTCAAATATTGCCATTTGAGTCTTATTTCTTCCAGAAATATTTCTGGCATAGCTGTACCTGTAAACCACCCTAAAAAAGACAGCTAATATTGTTGCAGATATCTTGTTGGTATTATTATTGTTGGTTTAGTCCGTGAATTGAATGTTATAAACATTTACTGGGTAAATTGTCACTAAATGTAACTCAGGCTTTTGTGGTGATGATTTGGGGTGGGTAGCAGCTGCCCTGAATGGGAGAATAGAAGAGGAAAAGGTACAGCTCTGCAACTGCTCCTGCACAACAGACCTCACATTCCAGCTCCAAAATGGACACTGTTAATGGCATGGTTCAGGCCCTTCCAGCCCAGGTCAGTCTAAACCCGTTGCTACATCAGCAAATTTCTATGGAATATCTATGCTCAAATAATTAACTCCTAGATTTTGAAAGCATGGGAATCAGAGATGGAATGCCCCCGTTTTCCTGAGATGGGCATTTTGTTTCCCAAAACGTACATTTGGGGGAAATTCTAAAAGGAAAAAACCCAAAACACCCCAACTTTCCTCTTCTATACAGCTGCTTAAGCATTTGACTGACACAGCTTTCAAGTAGACTGCTTGGGGTGGGGGTGGATTTGGAAAAATCAAGTTATTTTATGACACGTGCATGCATAAATAGTGTCTAAAGGGAAAAGCTTGGACTTCTGTGAAGTTGGTTACTTCTGGTCTTATGACTGCTGGGTTCATGGCTAAAAAGCATGTGTAAGGAAACGTCAGCTTCATTGAAAAGTGACACTGTCCCCATTACAGGTACACTGAAATGCCACAGACTAAAAAGAATGAACTCTAGTTTATAAGCATGGTAGAAAACAATGCCTGAGATGCCAGTCATGTTTCATTCCCCTGCTTAAACATACATCAGTGAATCAGCCAAAAACTCTAACTGTATTAAACTTAGGAAAGGTTTTCCCATAGCTTCAGTTAACATTTCCTCACTGTGCTTACAAAATTGTATTTGAAGCCAAGTAACCAAGGCATCTGTAATGTCTGTTACCTGCAAGACTGGAGAATTTAGGACTACCCTGAAATTAGACCCTGCTCTGGTTAGTTGTGTCCAAAGCCCTGAATAAATACAGCCCCAAGTGAAGCCAGCTTTAGGTTTGAGTTACCTGGTATAAATACATACACGCACACACACTTCTACTTTAGGAGAGGTAGAAGTATGGACAAAATTTTGTTTCTTTTAAGGAGAACTAGTTTGTGGGCTCATTCTCTAAATCTACCAGTAGCATTTAGTGCTGTATGTGCTCAGGTATGTCACTAAGCTTTCCAGAGATATATCACCTGTCTCTTTGCATAGCAGAGAGCTGAGCCACTTTCCCATGGAAGGGGGAAATACTCTTTCTGGTATGTATTATGAACATTTAGTTGCATTTAGGGAATAGCAGTCGGTCTGGTAATAAGAAAGCTGCTACAGAGAAGTCAGAATAACTGCTGAGGAGCAGAGAGGAGCACGTTTATAGTCCTTCCACAGCCCAAGGAACTCTAATCAAAAACACTAAGTTATGAGTAAAAACACCAAAGAACTGAGAAGCCACAAGCATAAGGCAATGTACAAGCTAACTGTGCAATGACAGTAAGCCTATCACATTGGGCTGTATACTATGCAAAACACTTAAAATTTATTTTAGGAACTTGATAAGATAAATGTGTAAGACAAGTTTAGATCATCCTTATTAGCAAACAGTCCCAGTTAGGCCACCACAGAGGCAACAAGTGTCTGCAAGGTGTGAATATCACTCATAGATAAATAAAAACAGTGGGTTTTTTTTTTCCTTCTCTACACATAAGACTTGCACCACTGATAGTGGATCCTGACCACTGACAGCTGAATTACAAGTCCTAGGAGTTTCAGATTCCTTGAGGTCACAGGTGCAAACTCAGCACTTAGAAAGACTGCACAGTCTTTACAAACTTGCTGTTCAGGGGGTCTGTACAGCACTGTGCAATGATGGATTATTTTCCCCAAAAATTTTCACATATGGAATTAGAGACATTTTTGAAGGTGTAATATTCTTCTTTTATGGTTGTTAAGTCAGATGAACACATCCTGCTATCAGGTAACTATTTCAGAAGGCAACAGAGTAAGTTTTGACTGTGTTGTGTGCGGGCAGCGTGTAAAACAACTGGAGCTCACAAAATGTAAGTGTAATACATACAACATCATGTATTAACTGTGCCCTGAACAGCTGAACTGAGCAACTGAAACTCAGAGAAGTGTGTCAGCTGAGGTCTCAAATTGCAAAGGGATAGTATGAGTGCTCAGTTGCATGTAGGGAACAGCAACCAGTTTGGTAATAAAAGAGTGTCACATTGACTAATTACCTACAGGCACATTCACATGTACACAGGCTAGCACAGAGAAGTTCTGAGGAAGAAAGGTGACAGAAAGAGGAAAGTGAATTAGAGTACATGTTTTCTTCTGCAGTCTCTCCCTTGGAAAGCAAAAAATTACAGAACTCTGCAATCCTGGAGCACTGCTTCGCTTTCTGACAGTGTAGGTGCTATTCCACTGAAAAACAACACGCATTTCTGCGTGTTCACTATAAAATGACTTTCATGACAGATGAAGCACAGAACTGGAAATCCAAGTCCTATTCCTAGCTCTACAGCAACTGACTTGAGCAAATAATCGAAATACTTACAGTGCTTTTGCTTCCATTGCTAGAAGGTACAGAGTACTAACACATGCAAAGACACGGTGATCGGTCTGCATAATGTTTCCAAAAACATATTACAACTCCTGAGATTTCTGCAGTAACTTTCCTCCTCTGTGTAACTCTCCTAAAAGTGTGAGGTTCAGCCAGTTTTGCTGGGAAAAAGTTTCCCCCATTTTTGCTACCCAAGGCATCCTTCTCTGGATGACACTGCCACAGACGGAGGGGATTTTCTAGGACTGCCTGCTGGGTCTGTCTCACAGTGTGCCCTCCCACCACGGCTCCTCACTCCTGCCAGGCCCTTAAGGTTGGCAACAAAGAGCCTCCAGGCAAGACAGAACAGGATGCTGATGAGCTGTACCTCGTGGGAGCTGATTCTTTTTGCAACATGCTAGAGGCACAGTACCTTGCCCAGGGCACATAAGTAAGAGCTCAGCCCCGTTCTGAAGGATTGTTCACACAGACTCTCTTTCTTATGATCCTGATTTCATAACTTTGATAGGATTATTAGTGGTGGTCTAATTTTTTTTTTTTTTCCAAATGTTAATACTGTGCCTGAAGCAAGCTGTAGAAGTTCAAATACAAAAGTTTCTGCGATTGAAGTCCAGAACAATTTGGCATTGCAGATATTTTGTATTGTTAGTTGATGTTATCTTCAAGATGAAGATGCTTGAAGAAATGCCATTCTCATTTTTCTAACCTTGAACTGCAATTACTTAATAACTGTGTGCAAAGCATGACCCCACACACAAGTTAATTTCCTTCTGTGAAACTGGCATGTTTAAAGGACTTATTGTTGGACACAAATAGGCAAGTGTGAATCTTCATAACTCCATTACACCTGGTAGATATACTTGCCACTGTAGTCTCACTGACAAAGGTTAAAAACCTCTATGCTTGGGCAACTGTAGGAAAGGAATTGCCATGAGCCACAGCTCCAAAAATACAGTTTTTATTTTGACTGTGAATGTTGTGGTATTAACTTCTCCTAGAGTGGAAGGGAGCCAGTGAGACTGGTTATACAGCAATAGCAAGAACCAGAGCACAACTCAGTAATTATATTTAGACACCCTAGGGCGGGCCGTGATCAAGTACAACACTAGTATTTTTATAATTGTTTTCCAATTTCAACTTTAAAAATATCTTTTTTTAGACCAAATTTTAAATAGGAACAGTTTATATTAAGGTTGTAATATTCCAACTATGATTATCAGGCGATATCCATAGTGCAATGAGCTGGCAAAATCCCTAAAACCAGTTTGTCAAAGTGTTGAGTTAGCATTTGCCAGTAACAGGTTCTTCTTCAGATGAAACAAGCTCGTCAATCTGGTTCTTTTAGTTTTAAGCTCATCCCTGTGCTGAAAGTTATAAACTGATTGTGAGCCGAGGGTGGGAAGAGAAACATACACATAAAACCCAGCATGCCCAACACATTGAAGGCTCATTTCTTCCTCAATTGACACAAACAGAGAGAATTAAGCCTCTCTAGAGTTTACAGGCAGTTACATTAGAAATAATAAATACTTTAAAAGCTTCAGTGTTCAGCAAATCAGTTCGATATAAGTACCCAGTACATTTAATACCGTTTAATTTTAAAATGCTGGGTTTGTATACTAATGTTTCAATCTTTGTCCGAGTTCACCTAAACCAACAATAATCTAGTAAACTATTTTTCTAACATTTAGAAATATACAGATGTATATAAAAATCAGAATTAAATAGACTGTGTTCTGCAGGAAAGCAAGAGGTAGTTCCAAGTTTAGAGCAAAGACTGCGTTTAAGTGTAGATTAAGTTGTTTAAGGGATTTCCCAAGAATTCCCCAAAGGAAAAACTGCCGCAGTCTCCCAACTGCTAATTATAAGTCTTGAATTTAATCAGAGTTAAGTCACTTGGATTTAATCCTGCCCGTCCTGACACTCACACTCAGACTACAATTCCACAACACCCTGGTTTGACAGCAGCATCAAACTCAGGAGTTCCTGTTCCCTTTTCTCCTCTTTCTGCCCTTCACTCTGATCCCTGCACACCAGTGCACCATATGCTTGTTGCACCAACACAACTCTGAGGCCATGCTGTCAAACACAATGAGTAAACATTTGGGTTAAGAACCCCCTTCTGTGTGTAATCCACCCCACAACAACACACTGTGCATCTGGAACCTTCACAGATTTAACTGGAGAGAAGAGAGGTTTTTCATAACATAAGGAAAAGAGGAAAACAAATGGAAAGAAACATGCATGTGTCTCAAAATTAGGTTTAGTTCAAGATATCATTTGTTCACCTGCAAACTGGGGTTAGATCCTCTAGGCCTAGTAATAGAATGCTTAGCCAAAATGATACAGGTCTCCCAGGATGCAGAAGGGTGATTAGAGGAAGAATACTGCTCCTCCTGCTAATGGCAGGTTTTCAAACGATGAAAGACTGGACAAAGTTTTAAGCAAAAAAAAAAAAAAAAAATAATTCAAATAGTAGAAGGAGCAGTGGAGCAGAATTCTTGGGGTGAGAATGACAAGAATTAAGAGCAGGCTGTGACTGAATCTTGTTGTTTGTTTTGAAAACTTCACATGCTCCTGGAAGTCTAGAAGTAGGAGAAGCACTTGCCCAAATGACAGAAGGGCTGAACTAGTCTAGGCAGCTATCACCTCCCCGCGAGTCCCAGAGCAGGGGTTTTCTGGAGTTTAGCCAGCAGCAGCAGGTGTGATCAGTGGTCCTTACCTGGTGTCGATAGTTGTACCAGCCATTTGAGCCTGCAACAATCACCACCCAGTGCTTGCCTCCATCTTCAGGTTCTTCCATGGGGAATGTGCTGATGCCCAAAGCACAGCCCAGCAGCACAACTGCTTTCCATATCATCTCTCTTCTTTATTTATTCCACAAATGGCAAGGAAAAAAGAATCCCTAATGAAAAAGTTTGAGAGAAGCAGATCAGAGGACATTAATCAAAAAAACCAAACACAAACATCAGTAATATCACAACTATAAGCTTTTCTTGCCTGGGGGGATTTTTTTGTGTTCTACAGACCATTCAACAGTACAATTTCTGGTCATATCTTCCTTTAGCACCGAGCTGCTTAGAGTTACAAGAGTTTTCTGTCAGCTTTCAAATCTGACTGAAAGCAATTCTGAATAGGACAACCAAGTCTTTCAGCTCCCTCTGGTTGTTTTGTTCTATAATAGCTGGTAGTGAATAAGCCTCAAATACAGAGCAAGCCTCAAGTATCTCACAGATAAAAAATTTTCAGATTAATACTGTTCTTTTGGTCTATGCTTATGTAGTTCACTGGTTTCCACTCGCTGGCAATTAGCCAATCGTTACTGAATCAAATCCCGGGTGATGAAAAGCACAAGGATCCATAGATGTGGAAAATTGCTTGGGAGCTGGAAGGTCAGAGGGTCACAAAAGCTCTCTGTGCCCACAAAGCCAGAGAGGGTGGAGAGTTGCCATGCCACTGCTCTGTGCAAGATATAGCCCTGACTGCTGGGGCTGGGAGGGGGAAGTGCAGACTGCGAGAGCCTCATGCTATTCGTGCAGCCTGTCGTGCTAGTGGGGAGCAAATGTGAACCGGTACCACATGAAAGAGTAGCATTTCCATCTCCTTCACACAATGGTTAAGTGTTTGCACAGCAAAAGAACTGGGTCTGAACCTGTGGACACCAAATTCAGAGCAGCAGAGGCAGAGAGGCGGTTTGAGCCCAAGCAGAAATGGCTCTTTCTACTTTCTTGAGAGGACCAGAAGTGGTGTCCCCACTAGTGAACTTCCTGAGCACCTTAACTGTCTGATAAAAGTGTTTGCTATAAAAGTAAACAATCTGGCCATATCTAATCAAAGGTTCGCTTTTGGTGGTTTGGGTTTTTTTGGAGGGGGTGGGGGGAGAGGGGGAAGACAGGTATGTATACTGGTCACAGTCTCAGGTCTGCTGTGTGCTCTCATAAAGCAAATCCCCTTGAAGAACTGCATGCTTTTGGCACATGCACAAAAATGACATACTTCCTCATGCACTGCGAGATGGGATTTTATACTGCCCTACTTACAAAACAGAGATTCTGGAGGTTGACCATTGCTGAATGGAGGCACGAGGTGGTGTAGTAAGAGCTAAGCTACTTAGTGTAGTTTTCTCTGGAATAGAAGCTGGAAACTCCCAAGCCGTACAACATGGTCACAAGGCACAACGTCGAAGCTACCACTAAACCAAACAACTAACCGTACCAAAGTCAGCCTCAGTTCCCCACAGCCAAATCCATCCACCTGCAGCCTCTCAAATGAGGCTGGAACAGAGAAGTAGCCAGCTGCCCTCCAAAGCAGCGGCGTACGTAACATGCAGTACAGGCCTTTCCAAGGCTGGATCTACTGGTCACCAAGATTAAGTCTTGCAGGCAGCAGCGTGAAAAACATATTACATATATTTTTGGAAGTTGGTGGTTTGATTTTTTTCTTTCTAATGGAGGTGGCAAAAATTAAAGGAAGTCATGTTAGCACATCAGCTCCTGTAGGAAGAGCTGTTACCACACAAAAAACCACCAGGACAGAAAGGAAAAGGCAAAACCAAACATTAAGGGCTGTGCCACCACTTCTTCCAGAAACTCATTTGAATACAGAAAACTTATCTTCCAACAATAAGCCACTCCTGTAACTGCCTGCAAGCGTGAGATTTGGGAGCAAGAACAGTACATGTTAATTTAACCATTTAGGGTTTGTTGAATTATTAGCTACTTCAGCAGTTAAGCGGATATGAAGAAATAAGCAGAATTTTTTGCAGTGTGATAGACAGTTGTAATCTCATGTGGAGCTGGAATTGCAAATTCATGTCACCTGTCACCAAACGTGGCTTTGTATGGCAAGTCTGCCTTGTCTGTCTTGTCACTTCTTCAGATGATTAAGATAAATAACACAAACAACTGTGTTGAAGATATACTGCATTTACAACATCCACAAAACCTGCCTATTCTGTTGCCTACAGCACCGCTAAGATTCAAACCAAGTTTTTTAAAGCCTTTGTAAAGTGCCACAATATGCCATGGGCCAACAAGCCTATTCATTCCAAATACTCAGTTTCAGGTATATCTAACTCCTGAAATATTAGACAAAAGAAAATTAATATGTTTTAAGCAATCTATTTAGATACCTTAAGTGAGTTTGACTTACTGGGATATAGAGTCAAATCTCATGCAAACAGAGCCCTCAAAGCTCATTATCTGTTTCACAAGAAGAAACTTTTTTCCATGTTCATTAAAGCGTAACTTTTCATTTCTCCAACAAAAAAGCATTACTTACATTTACATGAAAAATGTAAAGACAAAATAAATGGTCCAAATGATTGCTGAAGGGCTGGAGATACTTTCACGTGACACTTAGCTCTTTTGAGATGTAAATCATTAATTTGAATCCAGGACATGCTAATAGAAACCATGTTGCTGCCAGCTGTTCACTGTTCATACAACATAATGGCTAAACTCAAGGCAGACCCTGGTAGACAGGCATCCATCCCATGGGAACAGTCACCACCACTGGCTGTCAGTTACTGATACACCACGCAACGGAGACTTCAGAAGAGTGCAAAGTCCTGAACTAGAAACAATTTGATGGGACTGCCTTTCCTGATGAGTTCACACACCGAACTCCAGGAACACAGATGTGTGGCTTGCAGGACCCCAGGCAGCACCTCTGCACAGGGCTGTGCTGTGTGGGATGCAGATGTACCAGATACCAGCCCCAAATTCTGCCCGCAAACAGGCCCACAACAGGAAAGCCCAGGGCCAGAGAAGGAGCAAAGACTTATATTATCAAGCCCTTCAGGCAGGCCCTCCATGAGGAATTCAACAGCCTCCCACGTGGTGTGTGGATATCCAGATCATCAGATTTCTCCCCTCTGCTGAGACAAAGTTGTGAATGATACAGAAGGCCCAGGGAGGGAACAACACAAAAAACAACAAACCAAACACTAAGAAACGTTTGCATTGTGTTAGAAAAACACATATGTTCTGTCACAGGTAATTCAGAACATAAAAAAATTCATCTTTTATATCTTATTAATTAGTATAATTCCACTTATCTCGTTTTTTTTCTTATACTATAATTAAACCAAATTAACACCAGAAAGGACGGGGAAAAATCCTAGACATACCACAATACACTAATAAGCCATGATTAATTAATGCTGAGCTCTCCAAGGTTCTCCGAGCAGCATTTAAAATAGGTTTAACCATTAAACACGTGCAGTGGGAATAGGTCTTTCATTATTTGTTTTTAACTCCAAAAAAACCCCAACAAACCCAACCCATATTTCTGCTTGTTTTAAAGAAAGCCTTTCAGTGCTCAGGCAGGCAATTTGAAAGACTGTGTCCTGGGTTGTGGTGAACCCAGGAGTTGAGAAGAGAAAGTTCCCATCACATGCTGTGTCTTCAGGTCACATTAGAAGAGAAACCAGCTCAGCTGACCACCTTACCAGAGGTCCATAAAGAGCCTTTTTCTGAAAGCAATGAATCAAAAAAATCTGTTACATGCAATTCTAAATGCAGAGTGAGACTACATGTAAGAACTGAAAATTCACTACAAGATCATTTTAGATCTTTGGCTAACCGCAAAAAAAAAATGAGATCACTTTATCAGCTCTGCCTAGTCTTGCTGGTAGAAGGGTTACTTAACTTTGCTTTAGAGACCATGCAAGGAACAAGGCACATTTCACTGATATAGTGGGTTCAGCCTCAGATCTACAGATGCAGAACCACAGCACATACAAACACGGGTAGGCTGCTGCACAGTTTGCACAGTCCCTGGAAGAAGCACGGAAGATCTGGATGGCTCTTGCCAGAACAACTCACTCAGCTCTTAAAACCTGTTTTTCCTGACAGAGTAGACCTTGACCACTTTCTTTTACATGGCTAGTGCACATCTCTGACTTGATAAGAGAGGGGTGCTTAAGAAAGACTACATCTGGAGATGGCTGGCTGCTGCTACAATAATTATTCTGGTCAACAGCCTCTTCCCTGATTTCCCAACTTTTCTTTGGGAAAACAGTCCACTAAACTCAAAAATCTTAGAACAGCAGGATACCACCCTAAAGAAAGGAGTCCGAGTTGATCATTTTCTACTAGTGCTTAGAGTGATGTTGACACTCTGGTAGCTTAAACTCCTGATAAACCTCAATACAGCCTTTCAGAGCTACATAAACAGAAACCATACATCCATTTTCCTTTCATGTGAAATCAGCCAGTCTTGGGGGAAAATAACAGCCATAAGATAATCAGCTGATCATGCAATGTTTTTTCTGGGAAACCTCTCTTTTCATCTGTCCTTCTTATGACCACTAGCCTGTGAGTTTTCACAAGAAGGTCACAATTCTTTTTTCCCCACACAATGCTTGCATATTGCTTGTCACTGTGATATTTAGATGTCGATTTCCACAAAATGTGACTCACGATAGCTCTCCTCACATGAAACTAATGTCTGCAGTTCTCTGTCAGCAATGTTCTGCCTAACATGTTGTGCTGGCTGCCACGCAAACTGAAGAACCTAAACCCGTGATTAAGGACCTGCGGAATTAGTCTAATTTTCTTTATGCACTTTTATGGCAGAGCAATATCACTGTAAACTCCGATAAGGTAAATTTTGAAAGAGATTATGGTCTCTGTTGCAAAACAACTCTTTACAAAGTGTACTAATAACCATTTTATGAACCAGCTTACTTTGATTAGAACTTGTAGTAGAATAGTTTAGGATAGCTACTGAAGAGGTTTAAGTCACTTCTACTGTGGAAACAAAAAAAACCTGTAATTATGTTAACTCAGAATGGTTTTAAACTTTTAAAAATGTTAAATAAAAGGTACTTAAAAGTAATTTTAAATAGAGGAATCTGCAAACAGTAGAATGAACTTTTTCTCAACAGCAGAGAGATGGCAC